TTGCTTTCATTCCAGGCGGCTGCCTGGAACTATTCCAAAACGTTTGTCGTAGAAAATTTAATGCGGTCACTGGCTTTTTGACGAGCCGCAAACTATTTTCGAATATGAATGTATTCACAGTGGGTATTCATTTCGCTTTGGTCAGCGCTGGAGCTGCGTTGTTTTTGTTATTTTTAGCGCCGTCTGAAGAGAAGTGCGCCATACACCAACTTTGCTCGCTCACTTCGAGCATCCTTCAATATTTGAAGCAGCTGATGTTATGTAAACCCATTTTTTTTTTTACGAGTTTTCTTTAGCTTATTGCACACGATGATGATGACAATGCCGATGATGATGCAGGGAACGATGTTCAAGAGGATGATGAAGAGCTGAAGTGTAGCCCGGCCAAAACTAATAAAACGTCAAAGCAATTTTGACAACTAGAGAGTTGGAGGCAAAAAAAAAAAGTTGTGAAAGAAAAAGTTATTTCTGGTCTTTTCGTGTGGATGCAGTTCCAAAGAAAATGAAATATTTGTGCTCTTTTTTTTTAAGTTTAATGTGCACATACACTTGTTTATACTTTATCTTTATCGACATACATACTTTATATGCCAAGTAACAATAGAAGAATGAATGCAGCCACAACTGAGTCAGTGCTCAAAAAATGCTTGGAGTAATCATTTTCTTGGAATTCATATTAATATTACTCTATATATTTTTACACATTAAACCGATTCAAAATCAGTTCATGCATGAGCTCGGTAAGTAATTCAATTAATATGCTTAAATGTATCATCTAGAGTTCAATATAAGATTCAAAGAGATCACTTTGAGAGCAGTTCAGGTGCTCAGCTCTATATTTAAATATATTTTGTAAATATATTTTTGGCCAAACCCAATTCACCCCAGTTTTTAGTTAGGATTGGGACATTCACGTTAGTTAAGAAGCCATACTTTGAGCTAGTTTTTGGTATATGATCTATCTTATATAGATTGGATCATTCTAGGAAAATTAAGCTGGTAAGATGGTAAGATGTTTGTAAATTTGGCTTAAGATCAGTTGGCAGCAAAATCAGGGACAGATATTATATCTTTGATTTGGCGAACTGGTTCAAAAGATACATGCCTTCAAATAAATTAGTTATGCCAAAACACAGCTGCTGCTTGTGATATATATTTTTCAGATTGAGGCTTTGTTCATCCCATATCCAAGCTGTTCTGAAAAGCATTTCAGGAACTGAGTTCCCGTTTTCTAGAATACGGCTTGCTTATACGTTGCGCTGCATAGTTCACATTGTAACAATAATACCCACTTCTTAGGTCACATAAAAATAGAAAAAAATGCAGCCACTTGGCTACAGAGCAGCTTGGCTACGCTTTGTGCAATTTTTACAGGCGAAAACTTTGTCTGCCAGTTGTTTTCAGCCAACGGGGGCTTCAGCAGGGGGCGTGGTCAGTGCTTTCCTTTTGCAATTTCCTTGCGTTATTTATGTATATATGTATATATATCTGCGCCTTGGAGAGACGCGCTCGGCATAGAGCGTCTGTCAGAGCAGCTTAAAGCTATCAGATATGAAATTGCGCCATTAAAGTCGTGTGAAAATTACGGCTTAATGTGTTAAATTGCAGATGTAGCTGCGGTTGCAGAGGCGGTGGTGGTGGCGGGGGCGGGGGCGGGGCCGGAGTCGGGGGCGGGATCGGATGAAGTGTCAAGAGTGATAAGCGCTCTGTTTATAGAGTTGTCAAGTGCTCGTAAAATGTATGTGTCGTCACACTTTGCAGTGCTACCTGCGCATTTGGCACGCCTATTTTGCGCGGTTTTTGGCTTTCGGCTAACATGGGTTAAGGGCGGCCCAAGTGCCGCTCATTAGCACACACACACACAGATACACACACACACACATACACAAACATGTACGCATGCATGTATGTATATATGAGCACACGCTGCGAGAATTCGAATGAAGTTGTTAGCGCTGAGAGGCCACTCGTTTGAAAAGTGTTTTTCTTTTTTTTTTCCAGGCAACCAGGAAAAGCCAGCGGGTTGCCTAGAACAGCTCTTGACCCTGGGCCAGTAGACAACAACAAACAAATCAGCAGCAACAACAACGACAACCCATTTAAGTTTATGAGTTGTGCCATTGAATGACTGAATGACTCAGGCCTTGTGTCCTGCTCGCGTGCATTTGAGGCATTAAAGGACCTGCCGGTACCCAAACCCACAACGCATTAATTATATTATAAATTTTTTTGCTTGGGGCATATGTATAAATTTCATCGACATTTTCGAGCCCATATGCTAATTTCTGTTTATACGAGTACGAGTTTTGTTTTTGCCCAAAACTTATAGATAGCGATTCCCGGGGCTTGAGAACAAATCGAATAATATAAGACTAGAAACCCTAATCCCATCTATCAAGAATATTTGACCAGGATATACCTCTTTCACATCCTTATGTTAAAATAGAAAACGCACTTTGGGAGGCTTATCCTTGGTTTTTGCTGTCTATCCAGAACCCAGCTCCATTTTAAGCAGTGAAATAAAAATGAGATTTTAACAAAAAAGTGAAGAATCTTACATAGCATTGGTTCAGGAACAAGAAGAAGCAGAGCCACTGCCTCAAGTGTTCACAACTAATTGCGAAGGTATGTTGCGCACCTAGCTGCAGGGTATATCCCTAGCAGGCACTGGCGGCAAGTATACTTGTGCTTTTTTTTTCATCTTCGTTTTTGGTTTTGTCAATTCAATTAATTTGCAGCCGTGTCCTTAAGTGGCTGCCTACAAGGGTTCTGACGAGTGGTTAAATTTTAATGCACAGCCCTGGCCTGAGTGGGTAATGAAATTTTAATGACTGAGGTCCCCACAAATTGCCTGCCAGCGTTTCGCAACACTGATGCCGATTTCTGCAACTTTTCGAGGAGCTTTAAACTGTACGCAGCTCGTTAAAGATTTAGCCGTGCAGCGAGAGACTGAGGGACAAGTGTTGCCAAAATGCGCGAAGAAAGCGCAGAAGAGCATAAAAAATAAAACGAGCGCACAGCAAATTATGAAAAGTTCCTGGCAAGCAGCATAGAAACGTGGAAAAATGCGCGACCGCAAAACGCAAATGAAAATGCAAAATGTGAAAAAGGCCGAGAGAAAAACGGGTCTGGGTCTGGGTCTGATAGTCAGCTGCTCTTGAGCTTGAATGGCGACAAGACAGTCGGAGTCGGAGCTACAGGCAAACATCCCTAACCAAACACACACACACACACCCACACACACACACACAAGCACGTGTAGTGTGTCTGGGCCAGGTCTGACTTTATGTGGCTCTGGCTTTTGGTCTGGCAATTACGTCAATTGCGCAAACGTCCAAATGTAACAAACAAAACCGTTAAACCGAATTCCAGTGCAATTTATGACAGAGTCATCGCGCCAGGCAGCCAGTCATTGCTGTTTTTCCATATACCCTGTAAACGCCAAAAACTGGTGAGTGTATGCTAAAAAGGTCTGCGTCCCGGCTGACATTTATGGATTATCCAATCCAAGTCCACTTATTTAATAAATAGATTGAACGCATAGATATTGTTACCAGTAAAAGTATTGTTCATTGTAAAGTTAATGGTAGTTGCCCGGAGGATAAATATAGCAAGACTTTTAAAAAGCAAGCGTATAAAAAGAGGCCTAAACAAGTCAATAAACTTAAGCTTTTTGTGATTTAATATATACTTTTAGCCTATACTTAAATTGATTAAAATAATTTATACAAACTAGAGTCTACAACATTAAAAGCGAGCTAAACAGAACGTTATCTAAACGACAAACAGATCTGATTTCAGTATTTTTTTGATTCTGTTGCCGAAGTAGAATTTAAAAGTACTCTGTTTTTGCCATTCAGTTATTTAGGATTTCTCTCTCGTTCTTCAGCGCTTGCCCCTTTGGAAGTTTTGTGGGAAAAGTACGAAAAAAACTTTTGGAAAAACAAAAATTGGCCGCAAAATCAAGAGATCAGCTCGATTTATACAGATGTCTCAAAGTCGAGCATGCCCAAATTAGCGAATGCTTGTTTAACTTTTCTTCGTCTGTGTCTGATTCATACCGAGTTCTAGTGAAGCTTTTACATAGTGTTGATGTTTGTTGTTGTTATTCTTGTTCTTGTTGTTGCTGTTGATATCATCCAGAATTGTTGCCGACGTCGCGTCGCTGTCGGCGCTTTGTCTGCGCAGCTCAACCCATGCCATGCGATCCATTCGAGCCTATGCCAAAGCTTTGGGGCGTGGCACAGGGCGCATTGTTGTGCTTTTAATTCATAAAGTTGCCGGCACAGGGCAAAAAAAAAAAAAAATAAAATCAAAATAATAACAGAAATGAAAATAAAGCCACAAACGGAGAACATTGTGTGCAGTTACATCAACTATTTAAAGTATGCGTCGAGTTCTTGTTGTATATATATTTATATATACACATACACACACACACACACACACACACACACACACACACACACACACACACACACACACACACACACACACGCACACTCACACACGACTTTGTAGTAGTTTTGTTGTTTTTGTTGCTGTCTGGTTCGCTTGGCTTTGAGCAGCGCTGAAGTGCAGCAGCAGCCGGCGCGCCGCTTATAATTTTCTCTTTATACTCTGTTTAGCCAAAAGAAGAAGAGTATGCACTGTTTGGTTTTGGCAATTAGAACATTCATTACATTGCTCTTGTAAGGCTAAGGACTATCGGAATTACCAAATGTGAAAGGTAGATGATCACCGTTGATTCCCTAAAGTTCGAAAATCCACTTTTATAGCGCGATTTTTATAACACAGTGAAGAGAGTATTGCGCAGTCGGTGCAACTGCAAAGTATTTACTAACTTTTTTAACTCTTTTTTTATTAGCTGCAACTTTAATTGGCTGCAGACGTGAAAGAGCGTTGGCAAACGTGTTTTTGGCTAATTCTACGTACAATTGGCATTCATTTCCTACGCGACTTTAAGCCCGAGGTCGTGTGTGGGCGTTTGATAGACTTACCTTTAGCTAAACATGACACAGAGCGGTGACCTCTCTGCTGGCGTCAGTTATCAATGGCTGATAAGAGGCGCTCGCGGGTGGTTGGTGGTGGCTGCAACGACGCTTGCACAGAAGGCATAAAAGTCACCCGCTTTGGGTTTGTGCAAAAACGAAAGAAATTAAACGATAATTTGTTGTGAGCGGCAGACGCGACGCCGACGCCGACGCTGACGCTGGCGACGGCGGTGCACAGTGTTTGCTCTCTTTCTCTTGCTAGCTTTAGCCCTCGCTCACTCGCTCGCTCGCTCACGTTGCGTTTGTGAGCTTGTGCTGTTTGGTTTTGTTTGTTCTTCCTCTGCTTGCCTCTTACTTTACAACGCGTTGTTGCATGCTGCACATTTCACTTATTTTAATCACAAATGCATTTCTTACAGAGATTTGTTTCAATTTGTATTCACTGTTGTGACTGCGGCAAATTGCTTTCGGCTTGGTATTATTCTCCTGTTTGCTTCGCACGCCTATCCTGCGTGGGCAAGGATATAATTTTCTTTTTCTTTGGTGGAAAGTTGCACACTGAGTACGCGTTACGAAAGCAACATTTTTATTTATTTATTTTTGGCAAACTCAAAGCACAGTGGCCCAGCTAAGATGTGCGTTGCTTATTTTCGATGATTTCACTACATATTTGTTAGTTTTAAATAATTTTCACGCACCGCAAATACGCGCAGACACGCTCAAATTTTCTCAAATATCAACTAAGCCAAAAACAATGTGCCCGATATGGGCTCACCAAAAAATACCAGCTTGTAGACAGAATCGGTTATATTTTAGTATTTTTGGTGTTGTATACATGTTTAGTCACATGGGAATGCTTATCGACATGTTGCCTCAAATTAACAAATGTGACCAGTGGGCGTAGGTTAAAAATACCAAAACAGTATTTTGTTTGGTATTCATTACTCTTCCTTCCAGCAGTACTTTATTTTGACGCGACACGGTGTGTGCAGCCAAACCGCCATCTATGTATAAGTTGAGTAACTACATGTTTTTAACGGTATGGTATTTTGCTTTAAGTCGAAAGGTTGTAAGTCTGAATAACTAACTATAAATGTTTTTTTTTCTCTTTCTGGATCTACTTTTTGATGCTTAAATGCTGAAAAATGAAAGTATGTAGAATGTTAAAAAATAGATACATATGTATTTAGGAACTGTGTTACGACAAAACGTGCAAACATTTGCATTTGTAACAAAAAAATACAGTAAATTTGCTGTATTAGAAAAGAAAATTATGCGTATCAATGCAACAATACCAACCCAAGTCAATCTGTTATCAAAGCAATATGCTTCAGGAAAGAGTTAAACATGTAATTGCAAAACCCGCATGACAACCAATTTAGTTATCAACATACATACATGTGTATGTAGATACGTACATATGTAGCTCACGAGCCAAAAGTTACAGCTTCACTACTAAACGTTCATACATACGGATGGAGAGACAGACGGACATGGCTAGATCGACTTGGTTATTGATGCTGTTCAAGAATATATATACAGTATAATTTGCTTAGCTGCCTCGATACTTAGCTGCATCGGTAAGATAGCTGCCTGAAATTTTCTTTTCGCTGCAACAAGAGCTAATTTTGTATGAAATTAATTACGTTAAGTGCATCTAACTTAACAGCATTTTGCACTTAAGCGCCTCCTATAGGCAGTAATTTTTGGCCAATTTCTATTAATATCATGTAAGTTAACTGCGCCATCTATGATCAGATGTGCTGATTTTTGGTTGATTTTTTACAATAAACTGCATTGAAATTAAATTAAATGTAATTTAAAGAGTGTGGCCGCAACTTAAAAAAGTCGAGGTTACTATGAAATCGATTCACTTTTAGGAGAAAAAAATAAATTAAGTTAACTGCCTTTTTAGGATAGCTGCCTCGAATGTCTGTGCAAAGTACTCGAGGCAGCTAAGCAAATTATACTGTATTTTATACCCTTTTTAACCATTTTTAATGGGTTCAGTGTATAACAAAAAATATATTTACGAGACTGTGATGCGACAAAATGCACAAATATTTTCATTTGAAACTAAAGAAAACTGCAAATTTGGTGTAGAAGCAAAGGAGATACTGCGTATCAATGCAACAATACCGCGGCTAGTCAATCATCTGTTGATTGAAGCAATACGCTAAAAACAACAATTAAACATTTAATTGCAAAAACCGCATGTCAACCAATTTAGTTATCAACATACATACATGTATAGCTCACGAGCCAAAAGCGTAAACTTCACGTGAGTAAACATTTCTCTGGAACTGTTTATCTGTATCGCTGTCAAGAGGAAGCGTTTAAAAAGCGCACTGTTAAATTAACACTAAACAATTCTCGTTTACGCACACTATCGAAAGTGTGCCAATGCTGAAGCTGCTTGTGGGTGGGTGATTTATCGAGCAGAACATGCAAACATTTCAACTATTTGCGCCGGGCATGTTAAAACTTATGACTGCGTAAATTTGGTTCAATTTCATACAGGGTGTTACGTCTTTAAGACACATACATAGGTCTGTTTCTTATGTGCAAAAACGTATGTTCATTTATTAGAGGTGCATTTACTAATTAGTAAACAAAACTTTTTGCAGCGTTCAGATTCACACCTATTCCTCTCAATGCTGAGTAGCCCCCTAAAACACTAGTTATAACCACGTTTTTGCTGATAATGAAAGTTACGGAAGCAATGTTTACGGAGCTGCCTTTGCGGGGACTCCACAGTCTGTTTCGGTGCGTTGTGAATTGAGTTACAAAATGTATTTCGGTTCTGCCATTTCTCATTCGCGTTTTAAATGGCTCGGTATCTGTTTCCTAACAATGTTTCTAATATACTGTCTAACCAATCAAGATATTGGCTTAAATACAAGGAACAAAATATACAAAATGCAGACAAGCAACAAAGAAGTCATAGGACCCAGCGACAGTGTGAAAGATCCAGATTCCAAAGACATTACCGCCGGTGTAGATGACAACACACAGTCATCGGAACTCCCACAGCAAATGTACTATGTGGAGAGTCCACATTGTAAAATGCCATACATTGATCCCTTCTCACAGGAGGTGATGGCAATCTACAAGCCCATGGTATTTGAGACATGTACCAATGAGTCGGATCTAGTAACACCTATCTTCGATGTTATTCGTAGGCGATATGTGCTCCATATTGATGATGGTGTCGCAGCGAAAATACTTAATTCTAGTGAAATTGAGTATAATTGTTATTATCAGGAAATAACGCGATATGCTGAACACGACAGTTATAACGAGTAAAGTACTATTCTATCAATTTCTGGAGTGGTTCTATTATAGATAATCCCAATTTATAGCATTTAAAATGCATTTAAATGCATCATAAAAATAAGGTTTTTGTTATAACGTACTTAATTGTCTACAAAAAAAAAACTGTTTTTATTCTTTTAAGCGGCTCCTTGCAAAATTTGCAATTTATCATATAAAATATCACTCCAAGGAGAATTTAATACTACAAAATATAAAAAAAAAAAAATTATTAATGTAAGAACGCAATGATGATTAATATGAGCAAATTTTAAAGTTATATGCCCCAAACTTCAAATTAATTTTGGGCATATCACGTGTGTGTTACCTAAAGTTTCATATTTCACTTAACAATATAATCATTAATCATATAAATTGCATTAAGATACTGGGGCGATCTTTGACTACTTTTATTTGTTATTTTTAACACCAAATATGCTCTCTATAGCCTGCCGCCGAGGATATACTTCAGCCAGGGTTACGTAGTGCCGTTGCACGTGGAGGGCATGATATTGGGCTGCAGCGAGGCAGCCAATGACTCAAATGTGCTGCAAACAGACGCTTTCGGGCTTATTCAAGACAAGCCATCCCCACAAGCGGCGCCGGCCCTGAAAGCAGCTCCAGCAAAGGCCGCGCACCGAAAGCCCAGTGTCATAATGTTTGGAATTGATAGTATATCCAGATTTAATCTAAGACGCACCATGCCCAAAGTTTACAAATACTTAACGCGCAGCGGCTGGTATGAGATGCAGGGCTACAATAAGGTGAGTTTCCTAAATATATGCATAGGTAATCAAAAGGAAATGACATAATTTATATACAATACTCAGGTTGCAGACAACACTTTTCCAAACTTAATGGCCATTCTTAGTGGCTTTACGCCCGACACGATCAAGGAGACAGTCTGCGATACGGATAATAAAGGCTGCTTTGATCGTATTCCCTTCATCTGGAAGTTTTTGAAGGACGCTGGATATATGACAGCCTATGCGGAGGATGCGTGCAACATAAACACGTTCAACTACGTAAAGCCAGGCTTTGTGATGCAGCCCACCGATTACTATTATAGACCACTTTTGCGAGCCTTCGAGAGTGAGATGAAAATCTGGAAATGCGAGGAGTGCACAATTGAATATTGCATCGGGCGACGAATTCAAAGTAGCTATGTTTATGACTATGCAAAGGAATTTGCCAGACGCTATGTGAATGAACGACCCATTTGGGGCCTTTTCTGGTCGAGCAGTTTTAGCCATGACGATTATGCTATGCCCTCGAAAATGGCAGACTTTGTTTTACAGTATTTACTAGACTTCGAGACGGAGGGTGTATTCGATGAGAACATTGTTATATTCTTTTCTGATCACGGCTCACGGTATGGCAAATTAATGTATTTAAGCAGCGGATTCCTAGAGGAGCGTTTGCCCATGATGTTTATCTATTTACCGCCCTGGTTTCGGGCGCAATATCCGGAATTTGCTGAAGCCCTAACGGCAAACCGCAATCGTCTGACATCCAATTTTGATCTGCACAATACTCTCAAGCACATCGCCGAAATAGCTGGTCTACCCAATTCTCCACCACTGCCCAAAGCCAACGACTGTCCCAGGTGTCAATCGTTGTTCTACCCTGTAAATGCGACGCGAACCTGTGCGGATGCTGGCATACCCGAGCACTATTGCGCCTGCAAGCCGTATAAAAGGCTGTCAGCTGACTGGGCAGATCGCATAGCTCCTCGGGTAATCGATCGCATGAACGACTATCTGTGGGGAAAGAATCTAAGCAGCCTCTGCGCAAATCTTACCTTAAGCTATATTCATAAAACGGAAATTCAAATCGGTACAGAACAGAAATTTCATGAAATCCAAAAAATTGATGTGGCATTCTATCGCACCAAGTTCAAAGTTCAACAGAATAGCGCCGATTTTTTCGCAACTGTAGTTTATAATAATGTTACCAACAATGTGGACGTTGATGTGGAGAAAATCAGTCGCACAAATTCCTATGCGGAAGACTCAACCTGCATAAATGATAAAAATGCCAAATTATATTGCATATGCATAAAAGATTTGAAACCATAATGTTAATATAATTTCATTTTTATCGTCAGGGCTATCTCTGCAAAAAGAATTCATACATCAAAATTAACTTAAGCGAACAATTGGTTTTGTTATTATTTGCGAAAAGTAACCGGAAATATTTCCTGCAATTTTCATTACTGAAAATATGCTTATTAGTTAAGGTTGTTTGTAGTTTGTAGAGTGTACAAATGACAAAAAATAAACATTTGTTCGTTAAATGTGTATTGGGCTTGGCTTTCAACTCTTAATTAAATTGAAATTCCACTATTCCACTTTTAAAATGAAAAACAAGTAAGAGGTTCTAGTCGGGAGATCCCGACTAGGGGATACCCTGAACTCTCTTTTTCCAAC